CATGTGTGGGTGTGTCACTGTTCAATAAAACTGCATCTACTCTTGAGAACAAGGGTTCCAAGGGTTGCATAAAGAGATTATCTTTATAGCTTTTTGGCGATGTCAATGACGTCAGGACTTTTTTTTTTTTAGAAAGCTTTGTTTTTCAATGATTTTAATTATTTGTCTTAACCTGTTTACTTTTTGCCATTCTCGTTTATTTTTCTATATTCTATGTAAATTTCACATTTTAATTATATCTATTTACAAAAAGATGAAAATGAAGGCAGTGACGTCACTAAAACAATATACTGACATCTATCCGATCTGTGTTTGTGTCACCCCCTCTGGATTTACTTCAGCCTGAGACGTCACCAGAACAAAGGTTGTATTGAGCAGACTTCCCGTTGCTTGCCTAGGTTATTTGCTGGACGTTGTCTTTTTTATTTGTGTTTTATTATGTTTTTCATTGTTTTTAAGCATTTTTAGACGTATTTCACACCGAAGCCCTTCAGGATTCTGCTTTTCCTGCATCGTTTTTAACCTTCAGTCTCCTTTTGAGTTTTGTATTTAACATTTTAAGCATAAGTTAACGTAAATTCCTTTTTCTTATTTCGTATTTTATTAAAGTAACGTAATTTTAGTATGTATTCTTTTTACAGCTTGTGTCTTCAGCAGTTTTATCACTTCAGTATCTTTTAGTTCTTTTATTATCGTATTTTAAATGATAGGCTGAGCCACAAGGACTTGTGCATATTTTCTCCGTGCAGGGGACATGTCAAGCCTGTGTAGGATCCTGGGTCAGTGCCCGCTTCCATTTTTACAGGCTCAGGATCTGTATAAGTTGTCAGGGGAGTGAACGGGATCCTTATTTGCGTCCATAAGCCGTGCTCGCTTCACGAGAGGCTTCAGCTCGCTTCACGAGGCTGGGGTTTAAGTCGGGCTCCTCATCAATGATTAACAACAATCTAAGAATGGTTTGGAGGAAGGTAGATGGATGCAACAGTTTAAGGTCGTGTCAAGATTATTCTCACAGCCTTCACTTACAGTGTCGTCTGCAGGTGGATGGCCTGGGAGGGAACATCTTGACGTACCATCACTGCTACTCCTCCATGAGGTCCATTTTCAAAGGTTCCATAATGGGCTTGAATGTGGAATCCTCTCAGGGAAATCGGACAATTTTCTCTGGTCATACACAAACTGGGTTAGATAAAGCTATCAATTGTTGCAGTTCTTCCCATTTTGCATGAATTCCCGGGCAGTTCCAGTGGATTAGGGCATCCAGTTCTTCAAGTTGACAAACTACTTCATAAGGTGTTTGGCAGCACCTGTGTTAAGGCCTGCCCGACACCTTTAGGTTGTGCCTTTCCAGTATCTTGGGAGTACCATTTGATGGGTTGTTTACCTGTGGAACTAGTTTCCAAGGCTTCCTTTGGACAGGCTCAGGATTTCTCTGCTTGGGCAAAGGATGGACCAGAGTCTCCGGATCAGGAGCATTTTGTTCAGCAGCGGATGTCCCTATGGATTTAGTGGCAGCTGGGGCTGTCATCATTGAGATCTCTGGAGCTCTGCTTGCCTGATGCCACTCTAGCAGGAGTCTTTTGAACAGGCTCAGGATTCCTCTGACCGGGCAAAGGGTGTACCTGAGCCTTTGCTTCAGGGGCATTCTACCTAGCAGCAGAGGCCACTGTGAATGTGGTAGCAGCTGGAGCAGTCACCGTTGAGGCCTCTGGAGCCTTGACTGATGGTTCCAAATATATTACTTTTGGAGGAGGCTCCTCAGTAAACCTCTCACTTCTACTCCGCTTCTGGTAGAACACCTCACCAGAGTCAGTTTCAGCATTTGAGGACTGATTTCTAAAGGTAGTGGCAGAGTGCTTAGTGTAAGAAGTATTGGACTACTTTCTCCTTGCTCCTTATTACCAATATTTCTTTTTCAAACTTGTACCTTTTACATTTCTTTGAAGAAGCTTCATGATCTTTGCAGTGGTAACAGTATATTGGACCTGGACAGCTGTCATCTCTTTGATGACCTGTTGTACCACACTTTACAAACATTCTTGGTTGTCCATTTTCCTTAAAACGGCAAGAGTTGCCTCCATGCCCATAACCCTGGCAGAGGAAGAACTGCATAGGGTTGGGCACATATGGTGACGAAACCTTGTTTGGTGACGAAACCTCAACTATGATGCAAGGATCACGTTGACATACCTCAACTATCCTTTGTAGATCCATGACTGATACACCATCAATGGTCTTTACTACTAGGTATTTGCTATATGAGATACTTTCATATTTACCAGGTGTATCATTAGTTTGTATTAACTAATGATAATTTATTCCTTTTTTGTTATTTTATCACGCATGTCCAATTTCTATTTTTTTTTATGTGCTGAGCATGATGGGAAATAGAGGTAACGCATGGGAATTTTGAGTCATAAACAAAGATTCATATTATGTTTTTGAAGTTGTATTATAAGTTGCAGTTTTATTTTCTTGTTGTTTTGGGATGCTAGAATTGTATTTAGCATCTTTAGAAGCAGATAAGCATATTCCCAAAAAAGAGATCTTCTGTTCTAAGTGGAAAACAGGGATAACACTTCACGCTCACCAGATGAGGCAATGTTGTAAGTTTGATTTCTTTATAATTTGCATTAATATTTTGACATAATTTTATTTTTCTTGGAAATTCATATGAGTGATTTGGTATTTGTTTCATTTGTTGTGCCCATGTTATAAGATTTGTGTTATTTGTGTGTTAATGTTTATTGCAGGTCGAAATAAATCATAAACCATTATGACAAGCCGTATTATTTCTGGTGACCCGTGAAACATTTCGACAACACTCAGGATGGGGCTCAGCGACGAGGAGCCTCAGCACGGCAGCATGGAGGGCTCTGCTGCTTCGGTAGACGGTTGGATGAAGAATCAGTCAAAAAGGGCTAAGCAGCATAGAGGAACTGCCAAAGGAAAGTTAACACGTAAGCTAGAAAAGTTTTATGAGCATGTGAAAGATAAAGTTGCCTTAGAAATATTGGAAGATAACTATAATTTGATTGTTAAAGCTTTTGAGGAAGTTGAACTAGCAAATGAAAGTTATTGCAATTTACTTGATGAAACTAGTGATACTCAAGAATTAAAGTCTGCAGACATTTACATTAAGGAACTTGACGATAAGAAATGTGCTGCCCATGTTTTGTTTGTAAAGATTAAAGATGAGATATCAAAGATTGGGACCATACAAGACTGAAAATGGTATAATTATGGTAGGTCAAAGACTGGAGCATTGGTTAAAACAAAATTGGAATCAAGATAACTTTATCCTGTTACCCAGGAAACATTTGTTTACTATACTTTATATTAGTCATTTGCATAATATAGATCATGCTGGAGTGGATGTTACACTTAGTAAACTGCAGACAAAGTTCTGGGTTCCTTCAGCACGTAAAGTCATCAGAGCAGTGAAACGTAAATGTGTTACTTGTAGGAGATTAGATTACAAAGTTGAAGGTCAGTGCATGGGTCAAGTCGCTACTGAAAGAATAACTCCATGTCCAGCTTTCTATCACACTGCTACAGATATCTTTGGGCCATTTCAAATAAGAGACAATGTGAAGAAAAGAACTACTGGTAAAGCTTATGGTGTTATATTTAATTGCATGGTTACTCGTGCTGTATATATTGATGTTGTTGATGGATATGATACCCATAGTTTCTTGAAGACTTTTAGACGTTTCACAGCTGTCCATGGATATCCAGCTACTGTTCATTCAGACTTAGGCTCTCAACTGGTATCAGCTAGTAAGGAACTTCAAATAGCTATAAATAACTGGAATATGTCTGATATTTCTGAATTTGGAACAAAAGGGGGATTAAAATGGATTTTCAACCGTTCAGCTGATGCAGCATGGCAAAATGGTGTTAGTGAGTCCTTGATCAAATCTGTGAAAAGATCCTTAGCCATGATAATTGGATCTACTCTGATGACATATAGTGGTCTACAAACTATATTTTTTGAAATAGCAAACCTCATGAATGAAAGGCCTATTGGATTAAAACCTGGTATGGATTTAGAATTAGGAACTTACTTGTGCCCAAATGATTTGCTTTTAGGCAGGGCAAGTAATCATGCACCATGTGGACCATGGAAAGATTCTTTCAATACAAAGAGAAGGTTAGATTATATACAAAATGTTGTTAATACATTTTGGCGTAAATGGCAAAGAGATTATTTCCCTACATTAATTGTTAGACAAAAATGGCATACTGATAAAAGAAATCTGCAGTCTGGTGATATTGTGTTGATACAGGATTCTAATACAGTTAAAGGAAAATGGAAAATGGGACAAGTTGTAAAAGTAGAAAAGGGAAGAGACACTAAAGTTCGGGATGTGAGTATTAGATATAAAGTGCAGAAACCAGGTAAAGAGTACAAAGGTCAGTCTGATACTATCATTAGAAGATCAGTCCACAAGCTGGTTGTATTATTACCGGTGGAAGAACAATGATTGTGTGGGGGAGTGTATCATTAGTTTGTATTAACTAATGATAATTTATTCCTTTTTTGTTATTTTATCACGCATGTCCAATTTCTATTTTTTTTTATGTGCTGAGCATGATGGGAAATAGAGGTAACGCATGGGAATTTTGAGTCATAAACAAAGATTCATATTATGTTTTTGAAGTTGTATTATAAGTTGCAGTTTTATTTTCTTGTTGTTTTGGGATGCTAGAATTGTATTTAGCATCTTTAGAAGCAGATAAGCATATTCCCAAAAAAGAGATCTTCTGTTCTAAGTGGAAAACAGGGATAACACTTCACGCTCACCAGATGAGGCAATGTTGTAAGTTTGATTTCTTTATAATTTGCATTAATATTTTGACATAATTTTATTTTTCTTGGAAATTCATATGAGTGATTTGGTATTTGTTTCATTTGTTGTGCCCATGTTATAAGATTTGTGTTATTTGTGTGTTAATGTTTATTGCAGGTCGAAATAAATCATAAACCATTATGACAAGCCGTATTATTTCTGGTGACCCGTGAAACACCAGGTAAGATTTCATTAATGAATAGAGGAGGACTTCTCTCCTTCTTACCTGGTTTAGGAGCTTGGGAACCATTATGATTCCCATTCTTGCCCTTTGGGTAAGGTTCCAGAGTGACATGTGAAGTTCCAGAGGGACTGGCAAGAGGACTACATAGGTCGTCAGGGAGAGAGCTTGTTCTTTGTAAATTTGCATAAATACAAATTACAATTCATTTCATCACCCCCCCCCCCCACCCACCATGGAGTCCAACGAGGGAAAGCTATAGTTGGGACTCCCAATCCAATAGCCACAAGGGTTGTGAGGAAATATATGCAATCACTATAACAGTGCTGATGTCAGTCGTGGGACCTATGCCCTACTGGACGGTGCCTGCTTAGCCCTAGCCATATTTGACCAGCCGATTGACTTGACTGGGCCTTGATCAAGCCATCCGTCTAACCAGAATAGCAGACCAAAGAGGTATGTTGCTAGCTGCAGGGCACAGCCTGCAGCCTTGCTTAACTTCCAGGACTCCTGTCTCCTGGTAATACGGGATGCCACACACACCAAACACACATGAGCGAATTCTCCCTTGTCTAAGATGGAATGAACCAGAGGTAGGTGCACCATCCCTTGATGCTCCAGGAGGCCATTTTGTTTCATCCCTCACTGGTGACCCCTCCAGTATGGGTAGCCCTCTGGTCTGGTTCACCAGATCATTGGGACATCACCCCCCCCCCCTCCCCACACACACACACACACAAGGGCGAATTCTCCCTTGTCTAAGATGGAATGAACCAGAGGTAGGTGCACCATCCCTTGATGCTCCAGGAGGCCATTTTGTCTCATCCCTCACTGGTGATCCCTCCAATATGGGGTCACCAGTCTGGCTCACCGCGGCAAGGCAGCTCCCATTAGGGAGGCATCAGTGGGACACAGGCTATCAGATGGACTGGTCAGCAAAGCGAATTGTCTGTCCTTCTGCTGATGTCCACGCCCAGAGATTGATGGAATCCTCCTTAATAAAATAGCTGCCTAATTTGAACTTGAACAGCAGCTTTTCTCCTGCCGATAGTCTTCTCGCTTCCCACATCCTCCGCCTTCTCCCTTATGCCGGTCACCCTGTACATAGCCCTCCCGAATCTCCTACCTGATCTGACCTACCTTCATTTCCGTTCGTCTGTCCTCACCTGCCCCATGTTATCGTGTTGCCTCTCCCCTCTCTTTTATACCCCTCCTCTTCCTTTCCTCTTCAGAATTGAATCCAGGTAGATTCCGACACTGTAGTCTCATTTTCAATTAATCTAGTTTTGCATTGTGGGTTTTTCTACCATATTCATATAAATGTATATCTATTAATAAGTATATTTTTATACATATATATTTATATATGTATATATATGAATAGAGATCAAGACACTACTGAGAAGGGACAAAAAACAGTTCATCAGGATCCTTGCTGAGGAGGTTGAAGGCCATTTCTTGGTAATTGACCTTCGCCCTGCCTACCTGAGGAATCTGAACTCTGAGCTTTCCTCGTAGATGACTGCAGTCCACTCAGTGGATGGACAGATCATCGCAGATCATGTTGGGGTTTATAAACATTAGACTGAGTATTTCGAGCAGCTGTACCAGGTAGACCCTCCAACAGTTAGCTTGGATGCAAGTAGTATCACAAAACCTGTGCCAGACCCACCCATCGGCGAGGAACCTCCTACAATGAGGTTAGAATGGCGATTTCTAAGCTGAAGTATGGGAAAACCGCAGGCATATGTGATATCCCTGGTGAACTGCTAAAGGCTGTTGCTGAACCTTTGGCATGGGCCTTACATGCAGTCTTGACTGCCATCTGGCAATGTTACCATTCCCCCTACCCTGATGAGGGATGTGGACATCCCTCTCTGAAAGGAGAATGAGGATAGATGGGACAGAAGCAACTACTGTGGCATTTCACTGCTTATTATACCAGTCAAGCTTTTTGCCCACATCCTTCTGAAACGGATCCGCGACCACCTACTAAGGTACCAGAGACCGAATCAGTCTGGATTCACTCCTGGCTAGTCCACAATAGTCCGTATCCTAGCACTATGAGGAATTGTTGAACGCCGCCGTGAGTTCGACCTCAAGGGGGCGTTTGACTCGGTGCATCATGAATCGCTATGGGAGGTTCTGAGAACTAGGGGAATATATATATATATATATATATATATATATATATATATATATATATATATATATATATGTATGTATACATATATATATGTGTGTTTGTGTGTGTATGTATATATATATGTATATATGTATTTATATATATATAAATATATATAAATATATATATATATATATATATATATATATATATATATATATATATAGACACATATATGTAAACATATATTTACACATACACACAAACAGTGTGTACATATATATATATATATATATATATATATATATATATGTGTGTGTGTGTGTGTGTGTGTGTGTGTGTGTGTGTGTGTGTGTGTGTGTGTGTGAGTGTGTGTGTGTGTACTCATATATATACACACACACACACACGCCGCCCTCTTCATACTCTCAACTGCAGGCTGATCTTTCGCCAGGTGAACACTCTCCGTCGTAACCTGGTCCACACTAGCCCTTCCTCTTCCTCGAAGGTGGGCACCTATGCTGTTCCTTGTAGCTCCTGTGACAAGCAATACTTTGGCGAGACGGGCGCCAGTCTCACCAAGCGCTTGTCTCAACATAAGTATGCTATATCCAGGGGACACAACAACAACGCTCTCTTCTGCCATCAGTGGGATACAGGCCATCAGATGGACTGGTCAGCGGCGCGAATTGTCTTTCCTTCCGCTGACGTCCACGCCCGCAGACTGGTGGAATCCTCCCTAATAAAACTGCTGCCTAATTTCAACTTGAATAGCGGGTTTTCTCCTGCCGACAGTCTCCTCGCTTCACACACCTTCCGCCTTTTCCCGTACGCCGGGCATCCTGCACACAATCCGCCCGACCCTCCGACCTGATCTAACCTCCCTTCGCTTCCGTCCGTCTGTCCTCACCTACCCTGTGTTTCCGCGTTGCCTGTCCTCTCTCGTTTTAATACCCCCTCCTCTCCCTTTCCTCTCCAGACCTGAGGATGGAATCCAGGTGGATTATACACACCCTCCCTCAGAGCCTGTCTCCGGCCGAGGTCGTTTCGGACCATCCCTTCGGCATGGAGTCTGGGCTTTGGTCATGGGAGCAGCTCGTTTGGCTGGTCCAGCTTGTGCTCCCATCTCGGTCAGGGAGGACGGAAGTTAGAGGTCTCCCTGTTTTGGGCCTGCAGAGGCTAGAGTCTATCTGTTGGACAATATCATGGACAAACATGCTTTTTGATGATGGGTTCTTTGTCTTGTCCATTTTAACAGCAGGTTTGACAGAGAGCCAACGGCATCATGACTGCTTGACCCAAGCCTCCCATATGAGACCAGCCGATTGACCTGACCGGGCCTGGGTCAGGCCACCGTCTTGCTGGAATAAAGGACCATGGTTAATGGTTAATGGTTAAAAGCAAAAATAAATGTGCTAGACATCTAAGGTCATGTAGCACTATAGTAAATGTTAGTAAAGGGTGGTTAAGTTAGTGATTAGTTAACAAAGCTGGGCAAAGGAATTGGTGAGTGAATGGGTTAAGGTCGGGTGAGGTAATGTAAAGGGGTTAGATTAAGTGAGGGATATTTATGTGTTTGAGAGGAAAACAGGTTTTCGAAGGGAGGATAGGTGGGGGGGGGGGAGCAGAGCTACAGGCTGCTTCAAAACGTGTGCATGATAATAGAATGTGTGAGACCGAAAGAGGAACATTACATAAAGAGCATAGGGGTGGATCGGATTGCGACATCAGATAGGGGTGTGTTAGACGGGTGTGGAAAGGGATGCTTGTGATATAAGGGATTCATGTGTGTATCCAGGAGGGAGTGGAAGGGATAGAGGGGATGGTGGGAGGGTTAATGTGGGTGGGGTTGGAGTTGGGGGGGATGGGTTGTGTTGGGAGGGGGTAGGAGGATAGGGTGTAGGGAGGATATCGTTAGGAGGAGGATGGATATCGGCAGTCATTTGGTGTGTGGAGGAAGCAGGAGTTGTAGGATTTGAAGGTTGATGGGGGTCAGTTTTCATTAAGAAGTCTTGGATATTTTCAAGAGTTTCTTCAATGGAGTTGGTTGGGGAGTTTTGTGGGATAAAGGATTTCTTGTGAGGGGGGGAAGAGAACGCTGGTGTCTCAAGAGAGTTTTGGGGGATAAAGGATTTCTTGTGAGGGGGAGAAGAGAGGACTGGTGTCTCAAGAGTAGGGGCAAAGGATGGTGCAGGTGATTGTGTGGTAGGGGAAGAGGGGGTGGAACGTTTGTTCTGTCTGTTTCAGGGAGTGCGAGGAGGGAGAGGGGAAGGTGTTGGGGTTGTAGTGGTGATTGGAGTATCTGTAGTAGAGATTGGAGTTTCTGGATTTAGGATGGCAAAAGAGTTTGACTAGGGAAGGTAGGTGGGGTTAGTGGGGGGGTTAGATGTAGGAGGGGTGGGTTTAGGAGAAGTGTTAGAATGAGCAGTATTACTGGAGTAAGGAGTAAGAGAGAATCCACGTCGACGTGCTTCCTGTCTGGCTTCACGCAGTGTGAGTCCGAGTTTGAATCTGAGAGTTGCTACCTCAGATTCAAATTTGTAGGTGGGACAGCCCCTATAAAATACATTATGGGGGCCGCCACAGTTGGCACATGTGCGTGATTGTGCAGAGCAGTTAGATCGGGTATGGCCAGGTTGGGCACATAATGGGCATCTGGCTGTGGAACGGCAGTGTTTGGCTGGGTGTCCTAGACGCCAACAATTTTGGCACTGACGTGGAGGAGGTTGGTATGGACGAACAGGGAGGGATTCTCCTCCTATGTAGACGTTAAAGGGAAGGTCATGTCTACGGAAGGTAATTTTGGGGGGGATAGAGTAGCATTGTACTGATGTTGCATCG